TAGTGTGTAATCAGAATTTCCTCTACAGTCATTCAGTCACACTTGATTTCACACTAGCACCTGTGCAGAACCAAAGCATGGGAGTTTACGTCCAGATTATCTGCCTGCTATTGGTAAGATTTAAGGGAGCTTGTAAGTTGCTTTCTTCTAAAACAAACTGCAGTGTTATGAACCATGTGTGGTAGTGTTTAAAAATGAGTCTAATGCTCAAAAGAAACAACATAAAAAGTGTTTCATATATTTAATGCTCAGACTGGAGCCTGCTGGTGTGCAGCAGAAAAGAAAAAACAGAACAGTCATATTTTAGGAAGGGCTTATAGGTGTAGCAGGTAATTACCTTCTGAAACTGAAGCATCTGTAACTACTTCTCACTGTTTTCCTTTATAATCATGTAAGAGTAGACAGAAGTACAAGGGCTGCTCTGAAAGTAATGTCTCCTATTTTATTATGTTGGCCCACAAAGTCAGAAGCGGATGTTGGTGATACGGCAGTAGAGGTTGAACCTTCCTACCAGTTTTCCATTCCATGTGGTTGCTGTGTGACAAATGGCAGCAGAGGGGTGATCTGACACAATTGTGTCTGACATGAAAGTGTGGGTGAAGCAAAGGTGTGGCGTTGAATTCCTCCATGCACCCATTGACATTCACTGACACTTGCATAATGTTTGTGGAGATGAAAGAGTGAATGTGAGTGTAGTGAGGTGGTGGGTGCTGTGTTTCAGTAGTAGCAACGCTGGGTCACCTCCACTGCTTACAAGTTATGAGTGTGGCATGCAGACGCTTGTTCATCAGCAGTGAAAATGCATGGTTGAAGATGGTAACTACATTGAAAAGCAGTGTTTTATAGCTGAGAGTTTGTTCTATCCAATAGTGTTATTGTGCTCTTTGTATCCGTTGTAGTTTCCATGGCAGTAAAAGAGGCATTTCTTTTGGAGCAACATACGTACAGTTTTCCCTTTATACTGAACAGAAATTCTGTTGTATATGTTACACCTACTTCTGTTTAATTGTTAGAAGAGACATAGATGTTAGAAATTGCGTCCTCAATTTTTAGAGGCATACAAAGGGATCTTTTCTTTTACACAGTTCACTTGGTTTCTTTCCTCTAAAGGGAATAAAAACAAGAACAGTTTTAAACTTGGATGAGATTGAACTACTTTTTCTTTCCTTAGCCGAGAAAATAACTTTCTTCTGTTGCTGCATATCGTCTGTCTATTGTCAGCTCCACAAAACAGATTGTATGCACTGGATTTGCAGATTGCATTTCTTTAAAATTTATTGTTTCACTGCCTCTAGTCACGCTTCTGCTTCTCTTACACCAGCCCATTTGCCCAGTGTTACCATTTTGGGGAGAGCAGATTTCTTTGCAGCAGCTTCTGCCATCTGGAACCATCCTCTTTTATCTCCCTAGTTTGTCAGGACTCCAGAGCTTTTCAAATATATTCTGAAATTATAACCTTTTTCTTTTACCTGTTACTCATTGGGGTATGATTCTGTGACTCAGTGTCCTATTCTGAATGTACTGAATGTCTTCACCCCACTGTTGTTTTCTGTGAGGTTTTTATCATAAGAAGTCAGGAAAATTATTAAACGCTCCATGGAAGTAAATGTTCTGAGAGAGATTCAGAACAACTGAAACCTATAGCCCCATATCTACTTTCTCCCTACTGAGAAAAGAACATTGTCAGCCTCTGTTTTTGTAGCTTTCAGCGTGGTGTATTTGTTTGACCATGCTGTCAAGTTGCTTTTCCTAAATTCTCAGCATCATTTTCACATTATATGGAGAATGCTTAAGCTTGATATTTTGCATTTTCCTGGGAAAGCCGAGAGAGCACAGTTTCTAGAACTGAATATCTTAGTTTGAATTTCTTAACTTACCCTGGTTCTAAAAGCTTTTAACAAAGTTTTGTTGTTTATGAAAAACGTGACTTTATGAGATACATCCTTTGTATGGCTGTGGTGCTCTGTAGCTCCCGCTGTATAGGTATCTCTTTAAGATATTGAAAATGTGGAGTTTATGTTCATTCATTATGCAGCAATTTCTGGCACTACAGAAGATAACAAGGTGGAGTACTGCAATGCATTTGGTACTGTGACAGAATAAGATGATCATCTTAAGATGTACTGGAGAGGAAACGAAAAAATAACGTTACCTGTCATATAAGTAAGGACGCTGCAGTACAGAAGTCAGGTCTTAGCAGAGGTTTGCGATTAGCTATCTTGAGCCGTTGAAAAAAGGAAGCAATGTGTTTAGGTGTGGGCAATATCAAGAGCCTTGAATTAGGGAAGTGACTTTTTATTCTTAACTTAGTGATACACCTCAATTTGTAGATCAGGTAGCTGTTGGGTGCTTGATTTTTCTTCTGGAGTGCAGTGGCTGCAGTGAAATACTGCGTTTGTGAGCTTTGGTAGAAGACCGTAGCAAATGGACTGGTATGGTCCATTCTGCAAAGAAAATCTCCTGCTAAGTGAAGAGCTGGGGGAAAAGCACTCCCTCTCACTTGCCCAAGTCATAGGTTTGTAATTTTGAAACCAGTGTGCAGTGCCAGTCTGTGTTATCTAGAACATACAGCAAGCTCAGAACATCTGGATACAATAAAGGGAGTCATTTTACTTGTTTCATATTGAACTTTGGTTACGGAGGAATTTTTAAAGTTATTTACTTTGAATAGTTTTCATCCTTGAACATCTTCATGTGTTGCAGGTGGTTTTTTAAAGAACTTATGATTTCCATGTGTTAGCCCATTTTTTGTCAGCTCTGTCAATTGTACGAATGAGCTGATGTGCGTTTTCTCATTCGCGTTGATATTAAATGTAAATGCAGACACTGAAAAATGATTCCTTTAGACATTTTTCATTTTATTGGGCAGTAGGGGAGCCTAGAGTTTCAGGAAAACATTTTGTTGCAAATAATATTCTCAGAGAAGTGAATAAGTGCATTTCATACATTATAAAATATATGAAGTAGTCAAATAAATATATCCATTCTGATGATACCTCAGAAACAGGTACAAGAAGAGTCTGTAGTCTTGGGCTTGAAAAAAAAAAAGCTTAGAATCTTATGTCATGTATTAAAATGTTTATTGTCTTCCTAGATTTTTAAAAAATTCCTTTAAAAAAAAAAAAAAACAACCTTCTTTCTTCTGTTGTAGTTTAACTCAGCACCTAAACACAGCACAGCCTTTTGCTCACTCACCCCAATGGTTCCACCACGCTATGAAGGTGGTGGCTCTTCCCTGCTGAACGGCTGGCCTGATCCCAGGCATGCTTCCATCACTCAGCAACAACCAAAACATCATTGTGCTATTGATGTTGTTGCAGTTGAAACGAGGACATCTTTCTTGCCGTGCAAGGGCAAATTTGTGGCTCTGTCAAACTCAGTGTGAGTTTTGCCTATGACTTAATTTAGGCCAGGATTTCCTTCCTAGTCTGTGTTACTTATAACTTCTTTGCGTAGGTAAGAATTTACATTTAATTGTATATCTTTCTCTGTTCATCTGAGTGGCTAGATCATGAGAAAGGTGATAGGTGCATTGGTTCTTCTTACAATTTGTGTCTTTGAGGTTGAGAATCTTTGCCTAGTAGATGACAAATTACCACACAGGATGAGCCATTTCAAGCCTTTACAACAACCCTTGGTTGAGCTGACAGGAATGTTTGTGCTGGAGCAGCTTGCTGTTGGAAAGTGCTGATTAAACTGAGTGAAAAAGCACAATGGGAAGGTGTCAATATGATGCTGAAAATGCCAGGAAAATCTCAGGCTTCTATCCTGAGCAGCTGGCTGCATACTGGCCAGCTTTGTCTCCAGGCGTTTCTGGAAATTTATGTTGTACATGAAAATCCTTTTCTCTGATTTTTTGTTCCACTTTGGAAGAACAGAATGATTCAGAAATATGGAAGTTTTTGTGGCTCTCTGTTGTCCTGTCTCTGTAAATAAACTTTTACATGTAGTAACACTGCAGCTTTCTCAAAGGCTACTGCTAATTGTTGGAGTCTGGGCAACCTGATCTGAATGTGTACGTTTGGTGGCCCTGCTAGGCAGGGGGGTTGGAACTACATGATCCTTGAGGTCCCTTCCAACCCGGGTGGTTCTGTGATTCTGTGTGATTCTGTGATTCTGTGATTCTGAGTGGAAAAAGTTATTTAGGAAGTGATGTGACTTGATTTTTACCATTCTAGCCAAGAATTTCTGTTGCCATATCCCATTAGCACCTCATAGTTGTGTTATTTTAAATGTGAATCTTTCATATTAATGGTTTTCTGAGAAGCCTCTTAGATATGTTCAAACTTGCTTAATTTTTTACATCCTCTATGCAGACATATAACTCTCTATTAAACACTCCTTGGCCATAGGGTAGTTTTGCTTTTTCTTTGTTTACCCTCTGTTCCAAATGCTTGGTGATATCTTATGCTTTAATTCAGGTCCTTCTGGCTGATCATCCTTCCTGTGTTGCTTGCTTACAGTATCAAGTAGATCAGTTATTGACTGTCAGTTCAGAAAATCGAAAGCGATAGTAATTTTGTCACTTGAGTACAATTGAAAAGTTCTTTGAAGAAAAAAAGTGTCTCTATTCTTTTTCTCCTGTGTTTTTGTGTTTTTCAGGAGTCGGTTCTGTAACATGTAGTCTTTTTTATTTTGTCCTCACATGGCGGTATCTGTCCCATCTCTTTTTCAGTCCTTGTGATCTGCAAGATGTGGTGCTTGTTCCCAGTTCAATATCTGAAACAATTTCCTTGTCCGATAAGAATCCTGACGTATGATTGTGTCTCCAGTAGCGAACTACTTTCTAAGTTAGAATCTTTGGAGAGATAAATGTTAGGCAAAAAAGTGGTGGAAAAGTAACTGATTTCTAATATAGTATCTTCTCTCATCACACTAGTGGTTTTGGTTTTAAGTGAAAAGATTATAATAATATGTAATTTCAATTAAGCATCTTTTGTTGTTGTTGTTGCTGCCCTGCAGTATTGAGACTAACCACAGTTCTGTTTTTTCTTTTACAGGTTGCCTTTCTGAAGCTGTGAAGATCTCAGTTACCTATGTAGAAAACTCTTCTCAAATTCCCTTCCATCAGACATATACAGAAACCTTCCAATGGTGTGACACCTGAAAGAAAATCTCCTGGCAGTACAAAGCAGGATGAGCTATGGCACACATTATTCTTTCTATCTGGAAGAGATTCACAGCCAAAGACGGAGTTAGCTTTTACATCCAGTACATTCTTAGATGTTGTTGTAAGAGTGACTGCTCACATCAAGCTGGACTAAGTTGTATGTAGTCAATACTACCTTTGTCAGACAGTATTGGGAGTCCTAAAAAGACAGGCAGCAAAGAAGGGATCTAAAATATTTAATGTTATGGATGCTGAAGTGTTCTGTTCTTTCTTTGCTCTAATAAACTTAGAAGGCCGACTTTAAAATACATGTTTAACAATAACTAGATTTTGTATGTTTATCATGTTTATTATTTCTGCATTAATGTTTACCTTTCTTCTTGTGAGTGAAGAAAGACCATGTTCATGTTATATACTGTATGTAATATTTTGTGAAAGTGATAATGTTTTGAAGAATCAATGCTTGATGGTTGTTTGAACTAATTATTCCTTCAGCTTCAAAAAAGGGTATCCCCATGAGGGCTGCCTTTTCAGAAACTGCCAGAAATGAAAGATTATTGTCCATTTTTGCTCTGCGTGCTTACCTGTTTTTCACAGGAGTTTTTTCACTGGGCACAGAATCTGTTACCATTTTTGTTTTTGGAGTGAATTGGATTTCTGTGACTCCCCAGAATATGACTGAGCAATTGCACAGAAGTACTCCAACATTAAAATCTTTCCCAATCTGTTGAAATGACCCCTATTATGGTTTTGCAAATACAGAGCTATCTTAGGTCACAAAATATGTGCTTTTGGGATTAAGTCTCTGTCACATCCTGCTTCATTTGCTACTGTGGCCGTACAGAGTAAATCTGACATTATATTTGGTTGCAGAGTGATGTGCGTAGAAACTTCATCAGTTTTTGGGAACAAGGAAAAGCCTTCTGGAGATGAAGAAACATGCATCAGCCCCATCCTGCCGTGCTCCTGCTGTGGCAGTGCTACAGCTGAGCAAAATCCTGCAAATCCTAAGCAAATCCTGAGGGAGCACCAAGCCCAGCATGTACACTGATAACACTGAGCCTTTTAGGAGCTTGCCTCCTGCCCTCCTGCCTGCATGTACTTAAAGCTGCTGCTTTTTTTATTTTATTTTATTTTTATTTTACACCCTTGTGCATTGGTGTACAGGGTCTGACTGGGATGGAGTTAACAACTTTTGTAGCTACCATGCTGCAGGTTGGATTTGTGGCTCCAACAGTGCAGATAACGCACTGCTGTTCTGGCTGCTGCTGAGGAGTGCTTGCACAGCACCAAGTCTGGGCCTTTTTATTTCCCCCTCACACCTTTCCCTCAGTGAACAGATTGCTGTTGAGCAGGAAGCTGGGAGAGACCACAGCAGAGACAGGTGGTCTCAGCTGGCCATAGGGTTTGGGTACATATGTAGCTTGCTTACCCTTAAAGCATGTAAACAAACACCATGGAGATAAGAAACTGCTCCAGACAGTAGCTGGCTGCCAGCTGTTTTTTTGTTTTTTGTTTTAAGAAAAAATTGATCCTACTTATTGCTTTCTCTGTTTTCCCCAATGTTTTGTATCTGTTACACTGCATTTTTTTTTCAGGGCAGAAAGTATGTTTATTTTACTCTCTATAGTGTCAAGTACAGCCTCAGTCTTAAAGCTGTGATAATAAATCAGCTGTGACGTTAGGAAGTACCCACTCACATTAACAGAGATAGATGTGCCTCCTCTACTAATGTGCAGTTTCCAGACAGTGTAAGGCAACAAGAAGCTATTTAAAATGTCAGCTTTAATTTTTACATGCTATCAAGTTGTAAAGATTGCTATTGCAAAACACCTCCTATGTGTCAGACAAGGGGTGTTCTCCATTAGCACCAATGGACAACAGTATTGTTCCTGTCATTAACAGGTCAAATGTAGAGCTTGTTACCTTCTTTAAACAAGCTTGACCATTACAATGAACTGGGATAGCTAAGCTGTCATACCAAATTAAGTCTCAATTATTTGGTGGTTATTTTATCTCCAAAAGTAGGCTTTCTAGTATAGTTTCTATCACCTCCAGTGTAGGCTAGGATATACTGAATAATATTGACAAAAGGATTGATGCTGGTCTTGCACTGTGAGCTGAAGGGCAAGTTCTGTCTTGCCTCTGCTTCACTTTTTGTGTGGAAAACTTTGCAGGTATAAGGAACAGCTTTAATTAAAATTTACAATACATGTTTTTGCACTTAATTTTGGATTTAAATGCAAGTGTGTTTCAGTAATTCTTTCTGTTTTGCTGCCTCATTGTTGGTCCTCCAGAACATCACTATTGTGTCAATTTTAGACTTTGCATTCTTTCGTTTCTCTCCTAGCCAACTCTATTCCATTGTAAATGACAGATTTCTTGTTTGAGGTACTGCGTCAGCTTATTTGCATTGTTCCTTTCAGTTCCCCTCCAGCTTTTCTTTTTATCTTTTTTTCGAAGCATTGCAAAGTCCTCAGATGGACAAGTTGCAGAAACATTGCACAACCTGTCTTCACTAGACTTCTTCAGTTTCTTTCAAAATGGGCTGAATTGCCTCATAGCAGATGTCAGGGAGCTTTTAGCAATTTTCACTGAATATCATGAATTTTACTGGTCCACATGCTATAACCACTCATTAGCAACGTTGTGTCTTCGAATATCTTACTGTGACAGGCAAGTGTGATATTTCTGTTATTGCAGACAGCAGATGCTGTGTTCAGATCTCATGGTGCTATAGTTCAGGAAAGTTAGATAGCATTCTTTTAATGATAACCATGAATATTTGTCTAACTGCTAATTGCGTATAATGGCTCTTGCTTTGTCCCCATCCAGTTGTCTTACACACTGGATTGCATTGGTCGTTATATTACACGCTCAGTAATAGATGCTCCTTCTATCTGCCTGTATTCAATGAAGATATAAATGCCTATCAATTTCTCATTGTAAATATTAGAAAGCAGTTTATTTTATAATATAAAATGTCATTTTAACTTGCATGTTTTTGATCACTTCTTCAAGGATGTGAAGAATTTTACTGTGTGTCTTATTCTGTGATAACAGAGGAGGCTGTGGCTGAGTTCTTTGTTTTGTTAGTGACAGCTCTAACGGCTAGGGGGTTGGAAAAGAGACTCTATACCTTAATTATTTACATATGTTAATTACACCATAATTGGCTGGCTGTCTTTTGGCAGCATGCATTTTCTTACTGGTTTGCCTGTATCATTGGGTGGGGGGGAGGGGGGGAGTGGTTGTGGTTCTCCTGCTAGTGACAAGGTTACTCAAGGTTACTTGCTCAACACTGCCAGTGTGACAAAGTCCCTATGGAGATAAGTTGACTTATACCCATTGGAGACAGACTGGTGAATGAGATACCTCATGTTTCATCAACCAGCAGTAATAAGCATCTGCAGGAGAGAAACAAAGGGTCTTTCCTTCAGTTGGGTTGGTGTGTATCTAAAAGTGGGGCCAGATATGTCTGAGAAAGTCCTGGGATATGTCTAGACAGACATAGAGTTAGTTGTTGTCACCATGGGAAGGCTCAATCCATGTGGAAATGGAATGGAAGGACTAGCTGTGGAAGAACGGAGAAAGGACCTGATGGAGTGCTTACAGAAGGAGGCCACAAAAATGATACAAGGGATAAAAAACACCTAGAAGAACAGGCTGAATGAGCTGGGACTGTTCAGCCTGGAGAAGAGGACATCAGCAAGACCTGAGATCAGCCTTTCAGAAGGCGGGGCGAGGGGGGGGGCTGTGAAAAGGAAGAGGACAGACACTAGCAGGGTCTGTTATGAGAGGACAAGGGGAAGAGGTTTCAAACTAAAATAGGGGAGATTTAGACTGGATGTAAGATAGGTATATTTTTACAATAAGGATAGTGAAGCACTGGTAGATTGCCCAGTGATGAGGTGAATGCTCTGTCCCTGCAGACACTCAAGGTCAGGCTGGATGGGACTCTAAGCAACCTCGCTTAGGACCTAAATGTAGGCATCCCTATTCATTACTAGGAAGTTGGATAGATGACCTTTATGGGACTCTTACAACTCAAACAATTCTATGAATCAAGTGTTCTATGAGCTCTTCACAATGCATTCCTAGATTTGTTGGATTATTGAGTGTATTCATGGTATAGTGGCTCTTCTCTCAGTTTCTTTGTAAATATTGTCAGAAGTTTCTGTCTGTGACCAATAAGAAGTTATGATTTGGAATCTGTAATGATCCAATTGTATAGTTAGTGTCATCTGTTTTCTCAGATTAGCAGACTTGCTCTTTAATAAGCTTTGATTTACATGGAGGGCAGGAGCAGTCCTTTCTTTGAGCTTTGAAAGGAAATGAAGATTGGGGGTGATTTACAGCTTGCGCTTTGCTGCCAAAAAGGAAAAAAGGGTTTAGTAAAATTGCTGGAACAAATATTCTCAAACACATGACCAAAAATGAAAATATACTAAATCAAGAGCACTTTTTAAATTGATGGCCACTGAGAAGAACAGGTGAGCTGCTGTTTTAATTGATTCAGAGTAATTATAAAAGTCATATTTTACAGTTGAGATGAGCAAACACAGCTCAATTGTTGCATATTGTCTTGAGTTTGTGAAGAGCACTGTGCTCCCATCCACGAGGACATCTGGGGCAGGTCCGGTAGGTTGGTGCTAGGTAAGCAAACAAAGCATGAGGGAGCACAGCAGAAGACAGGGAGCATGGCATGACAGAGGGCTCTGAAAGATGGTTTGGGATAAGAGGTTAACAGCAGGCCTGAAGGAAATTATTTCCTGTCCTGAAAGATGCTTTTAAGTTGCTGCAAGCAGGTAAAGAAACATCTTGGTGGTTGGGGACTTTGGAATTGGCATTGTAGCTTATAAATTGAAACATTTACTTACCTATTATTTGGTTATTGGTTGTTTTTTTTTTAATGATCACACAAACTAAATATTTTTTTCATAGAATAATGCTGATAAATTTTACATTTTCTCTATTTTTTTCTGGATTTGGTACAGTATGCATTCCAATCTGCGCCCTCATCATCGTCAAGATTTTGATGCTTGCTCCACAAAAATCACATTTGCACTAGAGTATATTAGCTTTCATTTAATATAGAAAAATTTTCTTCAAAGTAGAAACCAATGGAAATTTGTTGTTGTAGTTACCAGGATACTACTAAATGAGAAAGATCTTACATGGGCTATTTACTTTGTTGCGCAGATTTTTGTCTCCTGCTGTACCAGACATGTGTTCCTTAATTAGTATTAATCATTTTTTCTTGGGCCATAGAACATTTTTTTAAAGCGTCTTCTAAAGAGATGGAATTCAGAACCTGCAGGATTTC